CAATACAATTGTACGAGAGAAACTCTTTTGTCCTCCTGAAGAAGAAGAAGAAGAAGAAAAAAGAAGGATTTAAAGAGCTGATTAATAGAGTTTCTAAAATGTCTCGTCCATCAGGTTCAGAAAATGAAAGATTCCTCGAAAGCAATATATATTACCCGTCGATTGTTAAATCATGTGGAGCACACGTTGCAAATTTTCGCATAGCGCAGGGCGTCACTCGGGAATTTCAGTTCGAAAGGATTTTATCTTGTAAATATTCGGAGAGAAGAGAATTTCGATCACGTTCGTCAGTTCAAGTGAAAAAGTTATTGCGAAATATAATCGTGTGACGCCCTGAGACGAACTATTTTTGTTAATCTTTGTTCGTGTTTTGCAAGTCGCTGCTATCATCTCGTTGGTGAGATTCTTCTAAGAACAGCGAGGCTTCACACGAAATGCCTTGTACGTTGTTGTAAAATCAATTTCCAACGAGGCAGCTACGAATTTTCCAAGGCTCGTACGTCACCGAGGTAAACCGAAACACGCGCGGGGAAATCATTGTGCCGTTCATCTCGGACGTAGAAACGTTTTCGACAATGTGCCATTTGAAAAGTTTCATTTCGTACGTGCAGCAGAGATTCGAGAGATTCTACAAATCTCAGTTGAAATAATCTTTACTCATGTTTACACTTTAAATATAAAGTGTGGATTTTTTTTTTCTTGCACCTTCCAGAGAAATTGTTGAATTATGAATTATGAGAAATCTTTGTGAAAATATAAAATCCAGCTGGAAGATACATCGATAGAAAAAAAGATGGATTTTCTTCATAACCAAGATATTAAAAATAATTCGTTGATATAAAACGTTTCAATAATCTTCGTGAATTTTTCAAATTCTTTAATTGAATGAGAATTATTAGGATCAAGTAGAGATTCGAGAAAATCGTCTGAAGTAAAAGTAAAAGTTTGATATTGGGAATAGCTTGTACAATTTTTAAAGATAAGCAAGTAAATATGTCAATCCTAATTACGTTATTTAGGTAACGAAAACTTTGATGAAACGAAAATTCGCGGACAGAGAAATTCCGAAAAGAGTTTCTCCCACGAAAAAAAAAAAAAAAAACGAAAACGAAGAAAATCGCATCGTAATAAATCGTATTAAACAAAGATTTTTCAACGAATTTTCTTCAGATTTTTCGTCGTCGAAAGTGAGACGTTTCTACATTCGAGATATGAAATAAATAAACGAACGAAATAATAATAAAAAGAAAAGAAAAAAAAAACAACCATAGCTGTAACGGTAGTATATTTTTATATTCTAATGTACATGTAAGCATACGTTGCACCTCTAGTCCGTAGAGCCGTGAGCTTTCGTCCAATTACCGAGCCTTTTGCAGTTTTTAACGGAAGAAGGAAGAAAAGGAAAGAAAAAAGAAAAGAAGAAATAAGAAGAAGAAAAGCACCGATTAATTAGCAAAGTTTCGAATCGACAATTATTAAAGTGTTAAGGTGCAAGAGAGAAGTGCGGAGAAAAAGGAGGAAAGACTATATGTGTGTGTGTGTGTGTGTGTGTGCATATATCGCGAATGATGAACATTGCGTATGATCGGAACATGAATGAGAGAGAAGAAAACGGAAGAGCATGGGAAATGCTGATAAATCTCTCTGTCCATTTGTGTAACAAGTTATTTTTACTTTATAATTTTAACTTTAATTTTAATCGTTTTAAGGTCTACCTTCCTAGTTTGTTTTCATCCTATTTGGTAGAAGACGTAAGGATGAAAGATGATTGTTCGTTCTTTTAATTAATTGCGAAACGAGTATACACACACATAAGGATTAGCAACGAACAGATCACGAGCAATCGAAGAAATAGAAAGTTGAATTCACGTCCTGAGATTGTTTATTTATTTCGTATGTGATATTTTATATTTCTGCCGTATCCGACTTGCGTGATCTATTTTGTTCTTCGTAACTTGATTACAAGAGATTTTTACATGCTTCAAACGACTCTGAGTTTCAGAGTAGCTCTTTTCAACATTTACAAATCGATTCTTTCACAATTTTCGAATTGTAACTGGAGAAGCATCTGCTCTTACTCAGTATATTTTCCGCAACGTTGAATTTCATTCCCAAAGTCGAATTCATAGACTCGAACTGTTCATTATGTTTGTACTCGATCTTCTTCTCGATTAACTAGACGTATGTCTTGCTGAATTCTTCGGTTTATGAGCAGTCATTGCCAGACTAGTTAAATGGTTCGAAATTCTTGACAGATGAAGATTCACTTTTGGACGTAAATTTTTTTTTTTCCTACCAGTAATTTTATCTTTCTCAATTTCACAGATTGAGTTATTTGAATTATTGACTCTTTTCTCTTCTTGTTAAGCATAAATTCTTTAATTTGCCTTTCGCGTTTTGCTACTTCAAGTCTATTATATAAAACTAGTAAATATTACCTTCCTGTGCTAATCAATAAACTGGTAAATAAATTACTTCCCAAGTTACTTATTCTTCAAAGCTCTTTTTCTTCTCTTGAGAAGACATTAAATTTAAACTTGCAAGTTCCTTCTTTTTTATTGTTTGTCGAGGAACTTAACAAATAATTCTTCTTTGGAACCATTTTCACCACGAAAGCACGATACAAATTCTTCGTGCAACAGTTTATTTCTAAATGTAGATACCAATTTTACATTTCTTCTGAAACGAAGCCAACCTACCATCTGTTCGTTCTTGTCATGTAGAAAATCCTTTAACTTCTCTTTTAATAATTAATTTTAATAACAATAGTGGAATTGTGTAGAGAATTTTATAGTGAACAAGTTGTATATATTTTCACTGTTTCTAGTTTATTGTTCAAATCTGAGTGTGATTTTATAACAAAACTCAACTGTTTCTCCTAGCAAAAAATTTATTTGGTGTCCACTGTTGCGGACATTTTCATAAAACAATAATGAAATCACTGTCCGTAAATATTGTCAATTGCTTTGCAATTTTGCCTGCACTTTGCTTTTTAGTTTCCCTTAAATTCTTTGTCTTCTCGATCCTATCTATGTCTGAAGTTGTTTGAATTTATTTCGTATGTGATATTTTATATTCTACTTTCATCCTAAATTCATTTTAATCTCGTTTTAATCCTAACAGGTAAGTTCGTGCATTCTGTTCGTTGCTGTTCACGTTGATTGCCCACATTTTTACGCCAGCGTTGATTCCGTGAACATTGTTATGTCGCAGTTATTCGTATGAGATGTAAAACGATTTGTAAGAAATTCAAATTTTTCACTGACGGATCGGAATTTCGCGGGAGAAGTAACTTTCACTGTAAAATTGGAGAGTTATCCAATTCAGTACCGAATTCCCCCCCTCCCCCTTTAGTTAGTAGTGTATACTACATTCGCAAGAAAAAAAAAAGTTTGTCTGCATATAAAAATTATATTACCGTATTAATTAAGCGATCTTTGAAAAATTATTGTTGCCGAAATCCATTACCGAAAACACATGGTGAAAATATATTCACGGTATGAATTCTCTAATAAGAAAGAAATAATTGATTCCAACACCGAATTCTCTCCTTTTCTTTCGATTTACTTTCGATTTACTTCGAAGGAGAAATTACACGTTACTGTATACGCACTACT